CTGTCTTTCTTGAGGGAGGATTTGGTCAGCTGAAGCAGGACCAGAAGGAAGATGAGGCAAGGGAGATGCAGGCGCCTCAAATTCTCAGTCCACAACCTTGCAAGTCAAAGCCCCCTTAGATTTTGTGCCCTAGGCATCTTGCTTGCCACATTTGCATTTCATCCTTGGGGAAACCCTGCATATCATAAAGGTGGTAGGAAGAGGAAACTGTAGGAAAAAAATAAGGAAAATAGAGAGAAAGAGAAGGAGGCTCTGGATGATATAAGACATCCTAACAGGGAGAGGGAGAGGTGGAAGAGGAGTTCTTTCCATTAAGCCCAAAAAGAGGAGTGGGATTTTGCAAAACAGAAAAAAGAAAGACATTCTAATTTCAACAAGAGCGGCAAAAAGCTAGAAGAAAGGACCCAGTGTATGGTGTCGAGGGAAATGAACATAAGTGATAAAAGAGAGAGGTCAAGTAGATTCAGTGGTGCCTTATTATGGAGCGTGACTTAAAACACTAGGGCAGATTCTTACTATATGGTAAGATTCTTGAGAAAGAATTGCTTGTAAAGCAGAATTTAAGAATTAACTACAGTTGATCTTTCGTCTCTCCAAGGCCTCAGAACAAAATCCAGAAGTTTTAATATGTCAGCATTGGTTGGTTGATGATCATGGCCCCTAGGGCCCTTGAGGCAGTTGGCTTGAATGGTCTTAGATGATTCCACTCGGAATTTCTTTGCCTTGGCTGGTAGGGGCTTGCACAGTTGGTTTGTGACCCTTGCAAAGAGAAGCTCATGTCGTGAGATGCCAACAGCCTCCTCTACTCTGAAGCCAGATTCCCATGAGTCCCTGGGAAATACACCAGGAAGTTTAGTCAGGAGAGACTGAGAATTTGTGATGATTGAAGCTATCACTGTGAAAACAAACAAACATTTAGTTCCAGGTCCCCTAAAGAAATGGTAGACCATGTTTTGCCAGCCTATTGACTGACTTAGCATAATATTTTCTCAATCTTGGTACCGTATCAATTTCTGACAGTACAATTGGGAGCTGAGGCAGGAGAGCATTGTCCACAGGGCCAGCCAAGGAAATTGGGAACTTGGTCAGTGGCTGTAAATATCCTCTTGGTGTTTCGATTTGTTTACTCTGACGTGCTCTCTCTGGGACTGAAAGGCATCTGGGACACACTGGCACCAGTTTCCAGTGGGAAAGATCAGTGGCCGAGATAAGAGTTGGGGGGTCCCGCCTTGAGACGTGCCATGAAAAAGAAAAGATCTGATTTAGCCATTAAATCCCTCAAAAGGGTGGTGAGTTTGACTATAACAATGGGGTATTCAGAAGAACACTTGGAAGGCAGGAAAGGGACTTTCAAACATAGACTCAGCAGAGGCTTAGGGGACTGAATCGTCAGTCCCTCCTCTTATTGACCCTCAGTAAGAAGACTCCAGAAGTAGGTTTCTAGTTTTCATGGCCAGGAAGTGGTGGAGACCAAACCCTAAAGGCAGAGGACAGCAAAATCTGCTGAAGATTTCTTCCCAGGGAACTCTCCATCCAGATTCACATAATTCACTGTGGGTGGTCCCGGCTGAATTTAGAGGGACATGACTACATGTCATGACTACTATGCTAGACACACGTGACTACGCTAGAAGATATATTTTGGGGAGCCAGGGAACAGAGACACCGCACATAAAGAAATACACAAGGGAAAAAAAAGTAATACACAGGGGGAAAATGTGCATACATAAGCATATGTAGAATGAAGGAGAATCTTGGTTATACATTCACCAAGACTCACACAGGGCAACAGAAAGACTCACATATCCCTAGTGGGTGGTCCACCAAACTGAAACTACCCAAACATACACATCCCAAGAACTAAACGTAAGGGATTCTCCAGTGTCTGTGATTCTTCAGTTTGAAATGTCTTGTTTGTATTTAGTGTCGAGTGTTTTCCCTGAAGGATATCCTGTTTGAGATTAGTATTGGCTAATTCCTCCTGACATCCTTAAAGAAACATCCAGGGAAACTAAATAAACCCCCACCCCTCCAATAGCATGCCAAGTGATTTGTCTGGAGGATTTCAGGGAGAGACTTAACATGAACCAAGACCTGGGGCTGTCTCCTCCTGCAGATTCCTGCTATAACCACTGTCCCCAAAAGCTTCCCAAATGGAGAAGAAGGAATCCTAATCTCATGATTGCCATTGTGAGGTAGTGTGGCACTAGAAGTGAATCAAGCTGAGACCAATTTCTGACATAGCTGCCGGGTATTTTGAGGCAAATCTGAGCCTTGATCCCCCTGCCTATAAAATGAAGAGACACATTCACCTCAAACCCATTGGACAAATCAAATGAGCAAACATATATATATATATATATATATATATATATATATATATATATATATGCTTTCTAGTTTATGAGGCATTCAACATACATGATTATTATGAATCTTTCTCCCATCAACCTAAAGATAATATATTGACTTCTTAAAATGAATGAACAATTGAAAAAATAAAATGACAGGAAATACTCATTTTTTTATAACTTCACAATAGCCCATTCTTATTAGGCAAAAAAGAGAAAAAGTTGTTATTGTTATTTTGTCATTGTCAAATTGTAAATGTCACATTTCCCAATCATTGTTTCTGTCATCTCTTCTTTCACCAAGCACTGTAAAGTGATACAATACCAACTGCCCTAACATATATGGGAAGCAGAAATTAAGAACTAGGGAAACAGAGTCTATGTGGTCCAAAACATTGTACATCACAATTTTGAAAATTCTCTGTCCTGTAAGTCTTGTAAGTCTGGCTTTCCTCATTTTGCCCTGGCCATTAGATTGGTTTTTCAACATCATTTGCCTGGGTTACCATAGTAACATGTCTAATTCTTGTCTCTGTGTTCTCATTTATTCATTCCATTTTCACAGGGGCAAGTTGGGCAATGTGCTCATTGTCTGTAACTTTATACCCTTCGCCATTTCTCACGCTATTGATATGGAGTCTTATTTAACAATTTTTGCTTTCCTGACTCATGCTTTCTACCTCTGAGATTCTACTTGAAATGAAATTTTCACAGCCCTTCTCACTTCTCACTTGCACTTGTGAGGTCTTGAATAATGTATGCCCTCCCTTGGGAAGCCCTCCTAATTATCTTTCAGGCCATCTATCACCTTCCAAATCCTTGAGGATTCGCATCCTGTATAATCAGAGTAGTCTGTGGATTTTCTTAGCACTGATTAAATGGTATTGCAATTGCTTATTTGCAGATTTTTCCTTACTACATTGTGAGCATCCTAACGAAGGAAATTATGTCAAATATCTTTTTGAGTTTGTGAGACCTAGAAAAGTTCCTGGTATAGTACAGGTGCAAATGTATGTTTCTTGTGAATAGACAGATAGAACAAAAGGTCAACAGAAATGAGTTACCAATGGTGGCAGCTTATTTGTCAATTTTTAAGATAAGGTCAGACTGCTTCCCTTTAGGGTGCTCCAGAATGCATGCTAGGCAGAGGTAAGGGGATGGAGTGGACAGTGTTCCTTCCATCTGCTCCTCTCTCAGGGCCCAAGGCTACAGTAGGGTTAGGGAGGGATTTCTTTAAAAGGGAAAAAGAGCTCTGTTTCCATTTTTTTCCTTCTTTTCTAATTTTTCCCCTTTCCTTCCTTTCTCTTCTCTCCTCCCCAGTACCCTTTCCTTTTGAACAATTTCTTCCTATTTCACAATACTTATTATACATTTTTGATCCTTATTTAGACTTTCAGTTTCTCACACCAGAGAGACAATGCGATATTTACACACATGTGTCCGACTTATTTCACTTAAGAGTATAGTCTCGAGGTGCATCCATTTTAGCTCTAAATATCTCAAGTTTATCCTCAAAGCTTTTGTAAATACGGAGGGAAAGGAGGATTGAAGAGAGGGGAGGACAATGAGGAAAAAAGAGGAATCAAGATACGTACAGGAACAAATTCCCTATGATGACTGTGATCGTTATGTATATCTAAATTGTACCAGTAAAATTAATTTTAAAATAACTAAAAGGGAAAAGAGAAGGAAAGGAAAGGAACTACTTGAACACTTATCACATTCCTAGGAGTGTAACAATCTGAATAGATCATTTTGTCTTCACAGTAATCATGCGAGGCTGGTGTATTTAATCCTCCTTTTACAGATGAAGAAACAAAATGTTGGAGAGTTCAATTAACTGTCTACGATCACACAGTTCCTAAAAGATGTAGCCTGGATTTGAACCAGATTCTCCTGAGTCTTTCACCCATGCTTCTCCAAGGAGAGTTCGAATAATCTCAGGTTAGTGGGGTGTGGAGGGGATACCTGGAGACAATTTTCTTAAAGCTGTTGGAGGAAATACTAGTTGCGTCTACAAAACAAAACCGAAAAATTAAATACATGTATTGTATAAATATTTAAGATAACGAAAGACCTAAAACCAGATGTTTTCCAATCCAGGACTGGCTGCTTTGGGAGGAGGCCCAGGTTTCTAGGTTCTAACCACTTTTGCTCTGGGGTTCAGCATCGCTATGAGGAAGTCTGGGGGCGCTCTGGAAAGGCGTCCAGAGAGCAGCAGATGTGAGCCGAGGATGAGGAGGAGTTGGATGACATCGTTGCTGACAGACTGTGGGATGGCAGCAAAAGGGGCTCCAGCTGTGGCTCACAGAGTCCAGGGTGGGAGAACGAAGTAGCAGGAGCTCACCTGGCCGTTCAGCAACTCAGATGAGTTCAACAAGACATTTCTAAGCCCCGAACCCAGACATCTCCCTTTCTCACCCTGAGCTCAGGGATACAGTGACTTGCCAAGGAGACTGAGCAAAGCCAGTGTCATCCGGACCACCCAGAATGAGAAACTATGTGATGCTTAAGGTTATGTGTCTGCTTTATTTCTCTTAACATTACGAGGCACTTATTTATATTACTCTAATAATTGCATAGTATTTCATTGTAAAACATACACAGTTTATTTAGTCAATATTCTTTTACTGGAAATTTTGGCTACTATCCAATATTTACATTCATGTATAAAACTCTAGTGAATAACTTGTGTACACTTTTATTATTTTCAAAGAATAAATTCCTAAAAGAATTGCTGGGTCAAAGATTAGAAGAATATCATTAAATATCTTTGTTTTTGTTTGTTTGTTGAGACAGGGCCTCATTATGTAGCCCAGGCTGGCCTTGAACTCACAATGAGCCTCCTGTCTCAGCCTTCTGAGTGCTGGGATTATAGGCAAGTGCACCATGCATGCCTAAGGAATATTCTTATAAACCCATTAATTTATAAGCACATAACTTTTCGGCATTTTCATCTGAAAAAGAGTATGTCAGTGAAATGTTCTACCACCCTGGCAACACCAGCCCAAACTAGAACACCATAAGAAGTAAAATAATAAGATACCAAGGTGCCACTAGAGTAGATCCCATCCAACAAATGGCCAGGGTCTGGATCTCTGAGTGAACTTGGACACACACGGTGCTTCTTTAGTCAGCTGGGCCATTCAAAGAGCCAACAGAGCCAGCTGATCTTTGTATCTTTTCTTTTGCAACCCCCAAACCAGATTCCAACATATTTAAAGTGGGCTGGATATTTAGCTCAGTGGTTCCGCCACCTGCCCTGCAAGCACAAGGATCGGAGTTCGATCCCCGGCACCAAAAAAAAAAACCCAACATATTTAAAGCATCTAGACCCCTAGGGCCCATTTCAAAATGAAAACTTCCAGATACTGCAGAAGCACCCAGATCCAAAGAGAACACAAATCTGGGTCGTAAATTTCCACAAAACTGTATACCTTATGATCCGTTTCTATGTATGGTACTTGTACATGCTCCTTTTCCTGACAGTAGTAGTAACACTTGTAACTGATCTCCTGCTTGTCTTTGTCTCATAATTTATTACACATCTCCCTATGTTCAACTTTTAACAGTCAAATGCCTTTCTTACACATACATAAATAAATTTTTAAAAGTCAACTTGACATGAGGCTGAGGATTTAGCTCAGTGTTTCTGTCACCTGCCTCGCAAGTGCGAGCTCCAGAGTTCAATCCCTGGTACAAAAAAAAAAAAAAAAGTCAACTTGACAGTCTGTATTTGATGGAATAATTGTACTTAATCATATTTAAGTCACTTTATGCCTTCCATATTACTCTATGATATTTATTTTAAGAATTTCCACTTTTCTATTTTGCTAATTTTTTTTGATTTAAATAACTTGATGAACATTTCACTTCACCTTGTAAATTTGAAATTTTTAATATACTTGCCCTTTCCCTTTAATGGTTACCTTTTTTATTCTGCACTTAAAATAAAACTTTTAGTCAGGTTTGGTGGCACATGCCTGTAGTCCTAGCACTCTGGGAAACTAAGACAGAAAGATCCGAAGTTTGAGCCCAGCTTAGGCAATTTATCAACTTAGGAAGACTTTGTCTCAAAATATAAAAAAGCCTGTGTTGTAGTCAGGGTTTGGCAAGGGAATACATTAAGTACATGACACATAATTTCTAAGATTATTTTATGATAATTACTCAAAAAGTCAAATGCAAAGGAGTGCAAGAGATTAACCACACACTAGAAGCCCACAGAATCCAGCCAAGGGTCTGGATCCCAGCAGCATCCCACACAAGTTCAGCTAAAGGCTTAGAGTCCAAGGCAATGTCCTCCTTGAGTCCAGCCAGTGGCCTAGAGCCCACAGCAATGTCTCATGCTTTTCCCTATTGAGGATCTGCACTGGGAAGGCCCAAAGGTCAGTGGTGGAAGCCAGAAAAATCTATGCCGGTGAGATGAAGGATTTGTGCCACCACTCTGAGGGATCCACATTGGAGCCAGGAAGTGATGCTCATGGTGAAGATCCGATCTCCCCTGACGAAAACAGCATCCATTTTGAGCAACAGCAAGGCCCCGAGCTCCTCCTCTGACGAGAACAGCCTGATTTGCATCAGGAAAACCATCCGAAGCAAGCTTCTCCTAGAAAATCAACAGGCCACCATCTGCCCCTCCTGTTCTCTTTTTATGGCTATTGGTAATAATCCTCAGGTGGATCCTCCATGCCCAGACCACGGTGATTCAATTCAGCTGGGTGTTACAAGTTGACCATTAATCAGTCCTCTACAGCCCGGTAACGTAGTTCAGTGCAAAGACCTTGGACTCAATCCCCAAGGTACTCCAAAATTACTTCCACCAAGATGCTGTATTTTGCCCTTTCCTTTATCATAGCCAATTAAATTAGATCTTTAAGCTGTCTTTAGAATACCCTCACTTCCATTACCCTTCCCTCTCACCTCACTGGAAGATGAAACTTTACATTGTTTTCCTCTTGCCCTTCTTTGCCCCAAATTCTGAGATTCTTTCTTCAATTGTCTAGAGTTTTTATACTTAAGACTTTTATTATAATTCCCTTTATTGCTCTTGCAATGTTCCTATACTTTGTGCTTTCTTACATTGCCCACTCATTTCTTAGCACCTAGAAAGATTCCCCAGTCAATACTGCTTTCTTCTTTTTGCCTTACTCATTTAAAGTCTGTATTCATGACTCCTTGCTATTTTGTTAGAGTTTAGTCTTGATTCTTAAATCTTGCTGACATTGGGAATGGGAGCTCTCTAAATCTTATTAAATTTTATTTGAATATGTTTGTGATACATAATACTTACATTCCTCTTGGCGAAGTGGTACACATACATGTTTCATCTTAATCACTTCTCCAACCTCAGGTCTCCTACCATTTCCATAAGGGCTCTTTATATTTTTAAATATCAAAGATTGTTTCAATTGTGCCTTAGCAACTAATGAGGTCCATATAGGTTTACATTGGCTCTTTGCATAACTGCCTTTCACTCTGCAATCTGTCGATGCTACCCCGCTGTCTTCCAGTCTCCAGTGTTACAAAAGGGAAGTCTGGTTTTTCTTCTCTATTGTAGGTAACCCGTGCTTTCTACCTGAAAGATCATAATGTAGTCACATCATCTTACACCTGCCCTGTCCTTGGCCTTCAGTCACTTTCACCTGGACCCATTACTTGTTAAGGAATTAATAAACTCTTTTTTAAAAATCTTTTTTTTAAATATGGGGCTTTTTCACTAAGCTACATCCCCAGCCTTTTTTATTTTTAATTTTTAAACAGAGTCTCACTTAGTCACTAAATCACCCAGGCTGGGCTCAAACTTGCAATCCTCCTGCCTCAGCCTCCCAGAATGCTGGAATTACATGCATGTGTCACCACACCTGGCTTTCTTTTTCAATTTCTGCACCTTGTGTTTTTCACATAGTAAGTCTTTGAGGTCCCTCTCATAAACTTTTCTTTCCCCTTGTAGCTTTTTCCATTATATTTCTTTGCTCTGGGACCTCAGCTACCCCCTAATTTGTCTTCTCAGGACTCATCCCCTCCCTGGATTCATTTGCAAAACTGTTTAACTGGAAGATCCTGAGCTGGCTCCGTGGTGAAGTGCTCGAGAATCCCCCCAGCAGGCTTCTGTAGTTCTGGCTCAGTCTGCCACTGCTGTGTCTGGCAGGCTCCCACGTGATGGGATGAGTCCTCTTAGTGTCTCCTTCTTCTCTAGGCACCAGAATCTCTTCGCTGTGCTTCCATTTCCCTTGTCTGCTTGCTCATGCTCAGACCTGCTCATTGGGGTCCCCCATTTGGTGCCAGTCACACAGATGGTGGGAAAACATTTTGTGCCCCCAAGGAAGTAGCAGCTTAGAAACCAACAGATTCTCTGTCACTGATGAAAGCTCCAAGAGAGGTCTCCATTCTCTGACACAAATCAAGTCCTCCTACGCTGCCACTTCCGGGTGGGCGAGGCCACAGCTCCAGACCCAGCTCCCACCTGGCCTCAAAGGAACCAGAAACATTGGGCGCTCTCCAGCAGATGTGGCCACGGATCTCAGAATGAGCATTTTTTTTCCCAGGATCCCAGCCTTTCTTTCCTATATGCAGGAGCAGCTCCAGGTCAGCATTGGTCTGGAGGATGAAAGCCTGCACTCAGCCCTCATCTCCTTCTCTCCCAGCTCTGAAAGTGAGGAATTGGGAGCTGGGATCCAAGGAGAAAAAAGCTGCCGTCAGGCGGCCATCTTCCCCAAATCCTTGCTCCTCTGTGTCTTAGAAACAGTCTCGTGCCTATTTATGAATAAGAGGAAGAAAAACAAAATAAGGCAAGAAGGAGAGAATGAAATTAAATCATTGAAATAATGAAAAATAATCATTGTCATATAGGGGGAAAAGTTCATCCCTGGAAACCAGACAGCTGCTGCCCTCTGGCTTGGGGGCCCTGGTAGAAGAATGTACAGTCCCACACTTCAATTTTCCCTTCTTTTCAATGAAGATGCCAGACCTAGTCATCCCCAGGGCCCATGCCCACGCAGCCTCCCTCTGTCTTGTGATTCCCTGAAATGAGTCACAGTGGCCAAGGAAAGTATTACTGGTTACAACAAAATAGTACAGAAATTTTTGTAATAAATTATAACGTGGGTTTGAGAAGTGGTTATATCTTATGAGCCTTATAATTCACTTCTGAAGCATTGCTCCTTTATGCTGCAGCCTGTGCCACAGAATCTCAGGATGTCAGCTACCCAACCAGTCATTGAGCATACCAGTCAAATCCAGGAGGAAGAAAGATTGCCTCGTTGGCTCATTTTCGGGACTCAGAGTCATAAGCGTCGAAGCTGAACTCCTTGGAAGCCAAGTCAAGCTCCCTTAGGATGCAGAAGTTGGTCTCCTGATTCACACTCAGCTCAGTCTAAGCTGACTCAGAAATTAGAAGTGCAACAGAGCAAGAGTCAGGAGAAGCAGAATCTGACTTTCTCAAAAACTGAAGAATCAGGTCTTCCATCTGCTCAGCTGTTCAGGAAACCACTGCAGCAAACAGATACAAAGAGTATGGTCTGGAGTTGTTTGTGCCTGTGGTCACACAGAATAAACACAGAAAAGAACAGAGAGTCACAAGGATTAGGTCACTGGGCTCTGTGGTCCTTGTGTCCCTCCCTCCCTGCCAATCACAGATACTGTGGAATCTGATCATAGCGTGCTACACTACTGTTCTACAGAAGGTTAGGAGCCCAGCCCAAACCAGCTAGCCATCATATGTAAGTGGACTCCTCACACTAGTTAGGTTCAAGATGAGAATCTCACCCCTTTTACCCACTTGTCTCCTTCCAGACTTGTTCCCAGTCTCCTTAACTCCAAAGTTCTCATCTGTGTTTATGTCATCCATCAGGTCTGAAGCTTGGCCCAGGATTTCTAGAATGGGCCTCCAACCTCCTCACACACTGGGTTGGGATCTGTTCCAAGAGATCCCCAAGAGCCCCTCTACTTTATTGAGCCTGACCTCCAAGACCGTATCCTGGAGCAAGCCTGCTAGGGCTGTAGCAGTGGTGAGGGTCTCCTTGAACAAGGTTAAGAGTGGGCTGAGACAGCTCTCAGGGCAATTAGAGCAGAGCCCGATGAGATAGCGGGTTAGAAAAACAGTTGGAAACAACTCGTGAAAAGCCTTGAATGCTGACATTGAATTTCATTCTAAAGAACACTGGGAGCTTTGAAAGGTTTTATAAAAGAAAGCATGCTTGATCAGATCTGCCTACAGCTGTAAAAGGCCCCCCTGGGGACCATGTGGAGAACAGATAGGAGCAACACCATGACAGTGAGGATGGAGAAAAGTGAGCAAAATCTGAGTAGAGTCAGAAAAGCAAGTTCTCTGACAGATACAGCTGCTGGAAAACCTGATAGGAGAGAAGAGCCTGGGCTGGTAGGCACAGTGGGTTGTATATAGTCTCACTATTCACAGCCACTCAGAAACTCAGAATGTAGCCCTGTTTGAAACTAGGGCCTTGGCGGATGTAATTGTTAAGGAACTTGGGATGATGTCATGCTGGATTGGGCCCAAATCCGATGACGGGTGTTTTCACAGGAAGAAGAAGGGACACAGAGACTGAGAGGGGGCCATGTGGACATGGAGGTGGCAGAGATCATGGTGATGCTAGGAGCCGTTATTAACTCGAAGAGGCAAAGAGGGTTCTTCCCTAGAACCTTCAGAAGGAACAGGCCTTTCTGACCAGTAGATCCAAACTTCTACCATCCAGATTTCTTAGACAATAAATTTATGCTGTTTGTGGCATTTTATTACGGGAACCCTCGAAAACCAGTGTCGTAAGAAAGGAAGAGAGAGAAACAGGCACGAGAGAACTGGCATAGACAAGAGCTGTGTGCAGAGAGGGGCGATAAGAACAGGAAGCAGAACACTTGCTCTTTCTGAAGTATTGCACTGAGAGCTTTACAAGGCTAGTTCCTTTAATCTGAAAAAGAACCCTGTTAAGTAGATGTCCTTATTATCCCCTCTTTCTAGATGAGGTGACTGAGAATTAATTGCCTCTCTCAAGGGTACATGGCTAGTGATGCAATTCAATATCCAAGCCTGCCTGTCACAATTACAGATACAAACAGGAGACGGAAATCAGGCTAATCTGATCACATCAGTGAGTCACAAGAAGAATCCTGAGATATTAGATCTGACAGATGTTTCCAAGACATATTGTTCAAAGGAGGAAGCTTTCAAATAAATACAGCCTCTTGGGTCTGGTTTTTTTGTTTTTGCTTTTTAAATGATCATCAAGAAGCCAGTGCAATTTCACACTTACTATTCTATGTTCACTAGTTGGGATTAACAGGCTGCCTCCTATTGTCTTCCTCATCCAGAGCCAACAAGGTGGGTGGGTGAGGCGGGGTCTGTGTATCTGAAGTCGACAGGGGACAGTGTTCTCCCGCAACATGAGCTGCAGGAGCTGGGTTCCAGGAGAAAGACCTCCACCAGACCGAGGGGAGCTGTTCACATCTTTAAACCATCCTCTGCCAAAATTCCAGCCAACTTTTTGCTGTATACATATATACAAAGAAAGATATAATAGAACAAATAAAATAAATTATAAGATTGTTTTGGGGTAAGGAAAAGCAGGCTATGAAGAGGGAAATGAAAAGAGAGAGGCTTGCAGTTCTCTGGCTGTAAGCATTCTACATACATGACACACATATGCACAGATTCACGTATGCCCATTACATGTACATATCAGAACCCCATGCATCAGCACATGCAGCGCCCCCCCCCACATGAGTCTTTCTTCCAAGATAACTCCATGACTTTTATCCTTCCTAGTGGATTTTACTTCTTAGAAGGATGAAATTACTCTTAGCTCAGAACAACAACCCTGGGATACCTGTAGGGCAAGGGAAGAGAGTAGAGGTCAAGCTGAGTCCCTCAGGGCCTGGTGAATTTATGGCCTCAAGTTCAGAACTCTGAGCCCGCTGGGATAGATCTTGTGTGGGAACATTCTCAGCTTAATTCCCACTGGATTGGTATGTGCATTTTCTAGCAGGGATAGAGGGAAGAGCTGGTTATTTTTGAGAAGCAAAAGGAGGGAAGAGGTTGCCTCTTTCCACTGAAAGCTAACCAACAGCTGTAATTTTAGTGGTGGTAATGGACAGTAACAGCTTGGTGGGATCATGTTTAATGGGAAGAGGCCAGCTCACTTCTGCACTGGTTGCTATGTATGAAGATCCAAGGAGCACATAACAAAGGCTGTGAGAGTGACTACTTTGGATAGAAGGAAATAAGGCCTTCCTAAAGAAAGGGACTGTGTTTGTTCCACCCTACTAGAATTTACAAGATCTACCACATGTAGTTTATGGAAGTGACCCATGAGGCACTCAAAACCCCTAGGAATATCTCAGATACCATTTACTCTTATGAAGCTTCTTTAAGTATATTGAACTTAGAACAAGATAATTAAAGAACACAGGCCTCCCACAACCATGTATTTGCCTAGTGGATGACCTTCTGGAATTTTTAACATAGCATCAGTTTCCTTTTATACCCTCAGGCACAATCTGACCCAACAGCAATTGGCTATTCCCTGGAGAGGGATGAGAAATGAGCCACATCATGAGACTGTGAAAACCAAAGGTAAGACCCAGAGTAGCCACGAACCCTGAAGGGAAAATGAATAATATATTTCAAGAATAAATATGTGTGAGTTTTTTTAAAAAATCAGCATGCAGATTTTCACTGTTTCTCACCGCACAACCCCCCTGAGGAGAGAAATTGAGGACACGAGTCGATGAGGCCTCACTGTGAGTGACGCTGGCCACAGTGTCACTTGGTTCACTTCAGAAGTCAGTGCTGCTGATGGAAATGATGGCCAAATATCCAAGGCAGGGGGCTGACAGATCGAGTAGCTCTGAGTCAAGATCTCAGCCTGCAGGAACTCTCCAAGCAAGAGAGCAGGCAAAGGACACGTGTTCTGCCACTAGTGGGGACAGAGTGCTGGTGTGCGGTAATATTAATATACACGAATAAACTATGAACTAATATGAATAATAAAATATGAACTAATAAAGCAGGGCAAAATTTCTCGTTTCCTACCCTATAGTGAGTCACACTTTTCTTTAGTGTCAAATCAGAATTTTCCTTATTCTATGTTGCCGCCAGAAGGAGCCCAGTCTTTGATCAAGTTTCCCACCCCAAGTTTGTTTTTTTTTTGAGACTCCCTCAGGCATGTTAGGCTGTCCCGTAGGTCAATCCTGTCTGTCCCTTGTCACCTCACCCAATCACCTGAGACCTAAAAAACTCTCCTTAACCTGTCATGAGCATCTTCTCAAACTCATCATCCCGGGGAAGGACACTGTTCTTTCCTTCCGTTCCTGAACTATAAGCAAGACCACTTCATTTTATTGAAGCCATTGGGATCTCACAGAAGGGAATTGCAACACACACTCCAGAGGAGTAAAAGCTTGGTCATGGATATGGCCATTCCCAATATGCAGTGAGGTTACCCATCCCTTTTCTTCTACTTCTTCATCATGTTGCAGAAGCCAATACCCTCAATACGAATGTTGTCAACCACATCCCCATTTCTGTTTTTTTTTCTGTACCTTCTGTGCTTTCTCCCTGAGCTATATCCCCTGCCCTTTTATATTTTTTATTTTGAGGTAGGGTGTCACTAAGTTGCTAAATTGCTCAGTCTGAGCTCAAAATTGAGATCCTTCTGCCTCAGCCTCTCAGAGTGCTGGGATTACAAACGTGCCACTACACTGAGCTCAGATCTCCATTCATGAAGCCTATATTCTGAAATCCTCTGAGTAACCAACTACATATACCTAGCCCTAAAGGAAAAGAAACATAATCTCAGTGATGTGATTCTAAACACAATGAAGATAATCTTTTTTGTTACAAGCACAGCAAGATGGCACCCTTTTATCCAGGACATCTCACTGCAGACTGGAGAGGCAGGCTTGGCTCTAGTTCTCTATTACAACAGTAGCAGGAATAATCATACTAGAAGTGATGGTTTGCAGAGTTTCTACTCTATGCTAATAACAGTGCTAACCTTTTTAATACATTATCTCTAATCTTTATAGTGTTAGGTATCAGCCCCATTTTATGGATAAGAAAACAAAGGAGAAATAAAGTCACTTGTCTGAGTGCATAGTCTTGGAAAAATTAGAAGATTAAGGCCAAGATAGTCTAAGACCCTGAACCAGTAGGATAATAATTCCTTTCTCCAAGGAACTGCAGAAGAAAAATCCTGAGAAACTTCCAGGCAATCTGGACTTTGCTATTTTGGTCTGAGGAGTGGAGAAGCTTTGATCTTGAATAAGAACCAGAACTGTACACACTGGGAGGGTACAATATCAGTGGGATTCGCAGTGTTCTGTGCTTGCTGTCCTGTCTCACTGCTTTGGAGAAACAACTTCTGCCCTCATACTTGTGGCTCTGGGATCTGATCCATATGTGCAAGGAATACAGGTAGCACAGAAAGTCTGTACTTAAGAGGCACACACACAAACAAGGGTGGAAACTAAACAAC